TTATATGATCAGGTGTAATTGAGCTCAAGCATTGATTTTATTCGGCTATATGTAATTAAAGCTTCGAATTATAGTTTTTTTTTTTTTTTTATATTTTATCTTTTATTTTATTATTTTTGGTTTGTTTTTTTTTGTTTATTTTTTTATTTTTTATATTTTCATCTTTTTTTATTTATTAATTTAAAAAAAAAAAGATCTTTACACCTGTTCTGGTATTCAATTAATGGAACTTGGTAGTGCTACGCCGCAACACATTAATTCATGGCACTTCATTACAATTTGGCGGATTTGAGGATTTAACTTTTATTAAAATTCCCTAACAATATCTATTTTACATAGATATAGAATTATGCACGTAAGAACAAATAATTAAGATTTTGTTATAAGCATGCAATTCTTAAGACAATTGAGGTTTTGGATTAAGGTCAAAATTCTACAAATCTGCCAAACTATTACATCGCTTACGTTTGTATATTTAATAAATTAAAATACTGTTCTATATCTCTAATTAGAGAAAAGAATAATTTAACATCAGGTATTTTCATAACTAACTTAGTATAAATTATATTGTTATTATTTTATTATCTAAATCGACAAATTTTATAAATAAACATTAGCTAAAAGCGAATTGATGCATGACTCTGAAATTTTCGAAATAGTAAATGAGTTGAAAAAAATATTGATTGGTAATAAGCATCAGCTATCATGGATTTCTTATGATGAATTTGAAGATATTAAGGTGATAGGTAAAGGTGGATTTGCAACTGTATATTTTGCTAGATTTCAAGATAAACATCTATATTTAGATAGGGATGTTGCACTTAAATTACTTCATGAATCGAACAATTATCATGAAGAATTTATAAGAGAGGTAATTTTTATTGAATTTTATTATTATAAATAATTTGTAACTTATCATCTATATTAATAATTTGAATATAATTTTCTTTTTAATAATAAGTTAAAAGCATATTATGACATTGGTCTTAAAGATCCAACTTTTTTAAAATGTTTTGGCATATCAAAAGATAAAGTTTCTACTGATTATATCCTTGTCATAGATTATGCTTCAGAAGGTTGTTTACGCAATAATCTACATACTATAACACAAATGGATTGGAAAGATAAACTAAATCTGCTACAATGTATTGCATCAGATCTTTTGATAATTCATTCCCATGATCTCATTCATCGGGATTTACATAGTGGAAATATACTACAAAATAATTTGAAGAGTGCATATATTGCAGACTTAGGACTTTCGATAACAGCTAATATTGCATTAGAAGCAGAAACTGATGGAATTTATGGAATACTACCATACATTGCTCCTGAAGTTTTAGAACAAGGATTATATACCAAAAAGTCGGACATTTATTCATTTGGTATAATAATGTGGGAAATTTTATATGGTAGACCTATTCCTTTTGAGCCGAAATCTGAATTACAATTTCAATTACAAGTATGTAAAGGTCTACGACCTCATATTTATGAAAATACAGCAATATGTTATGTAGATTTAATGAAAAAATGTTGGAACCCAGAGCCAGAAAATCGACCAACAGCAAAAGAAATTTATGATATTTTTGCAAAGTGGCAGAACGATAAAAATGTTTTATCAGAATTAACTGAATCTGATAAAAAACTACAAAATATAAAAAATAATGATACGCAAATTTATATTAATTCACATTATAAAAGTAGTATTATTTTACCTAATAGTAGCCATAAATATCAAGGTAATTAGAAATTTATATTTTTTTAAACAAATATATTATAGCATTGCCTAATAATCTTTTTTTATAGGTAGTAAATTATGTGAAATGGAAATACCGAGTATAATTGATTAATAAAAAAACTCTCCCAAATTTTGGAACAGAAAATATAGCGAAAGACATTATGCTTAATAATAAATCAGTATCATATTAATTATTTATATACCCTGTGTTAAAATATCAAAGTTTAATAAATTGGAATTTATTATAGTTCATAATAATTAGTAAAGGTCTGAAGTATAAAATTAATTATACCAATATAATAAAGTTATAGTATGATTACTAAGTATAATACTGTATTACACAATGCTCTTCATTGCAAAAATTCCATTAGTATTTTGTTGATTTGCCTCAATTTAATTAATATTAATATTGTTTAATAAAGACATTTTGATGTTATTTGATCTGGTCTATACTAAATGCTTGGTTTCTGAAACCTTCTTTTTTGCCAATTCTAAAAGTTTTTGTACTAATTATAGGTTTCAACATTTTATCCAAAATTTGAAGCCGTTAAAACATAAATATTCATATTATGGACCAGCTTTATTATACGTTCTTTGCTATTTCTTAATTGACTTAAGTTTGGATCGGTTTATGTTTAGGCCAGACTGTTTAATTCGGTAACAATTGTCACCGTTATATGTTTATTATGTGATCATTGATAACTGGGTTAACTGTTCTTCAAGTAGGATTGGGGACGGGGAAAAATTTGTGCATGCCTCTCTTATTGTGTCCAGGCATGCCCCTCTATATATAACCAAGCACTATGCTGCTAAATCTACAATAAAACACTAAAAATACTGTATTCAGATATAATATGAATTTTAAAAAAGTTTTTCAAAATCAAACCCTTTATGTTCTAATTAAATTTTTGCTGTGCCTCTACTGTGCAAAATTTTTAGAGATATTCTTGAAGTAACTACTAGCTTTGTGGCCAATCAGCATACTCCAATTACATCTGGTAAAGATTTATAATCACATGTTACGTGAATGCCTTTTGGCTTAAGGAATGCCCCTAAGCATGCCATGGAACACCATGCCTCCAACCAATTATATTTAAAAATTTTAAATATTAACTTCATATTTGTAGAGTTCAAATCTCTTAACTTATTAATTTCCCAAATCTAGAGGAGAATTTCCTGGCGAATATAAGTTTGTTTTAGAAATTACTTTTTTTTTAAAGAATGGCTTTCAATCTTATTATATATTTTATATATTCATTTATAGAATTGCCACTGTAAAAAATGGATTTAATTATCTTTACAAATATAACTGATTCAGGAGTTATGCATCTTGCATGTACGTAGTAATCCTGCTTCTCAAATTTCCTTTGCATAATACGTATACGAGATGTAAAGAGAGGGGGAAGTTTCAATAACAAGGAACCCAATGATATTTTCATGGTCATCACATCACATGATTAAGTGTTCGGCCAGTTAGGGTTAGTGTTAGGATTAGGTGATAGGATAGTTTAGGTAATTTTATAGTTCTAGTAAACAAATATGTAATTGCATAATTTCACATGATCACTGGGTTCCGTGTTCTTGAAATGCCCCAAGATATCTGTCATGTGAATTTAGTAAATAATTGAAAATTTTTCTACATCTTTTTATGGGTATTACTAGGGTGAAAAGGTTCGTATCATTTGGGCTAATTTTTAATGGACCTTTTTTTGATCACTAAAGCTGATGAAATCTGATAAAGAGTACCCTAAATTTTAATTTTGTTAGTTGTTAGTCAATTGATGAAATTTAAAAAATCACATATTAAAACTTGTGCCCAACTGATTACCCCATCTTTTAACCGATTACGTTTTCACAAATCAAATCAACAATAAATAGATCACTATATACATTTATTTATTTTGATCTCTTTTATTATAATCTGACTGTTCGGTTAATACCCTTTGAATTTTGGGACTGTAAAATTAGCCCAGTTGTATAAAATTATTCTAAAGCTCTTTATGGTTAGTGTTAGAATGAGAGAGTTCGTATTATAAAATCATTCTAACAGCATTTTATAGTTAATGTTAGAATGAAAAAAGTTCTATTATAAGTTAATTCTAACAACAATTTAGAATTAGAATTTAATCTTTAACCCAACGCTGAAAATGAGAACATACATTGATAATATTTATGAAACAATGAAAAAGATTCTGCCGCGTTAATGCCAGACTTTCGGTGTATGCACTAAACGAATCTCCATGTTGTTTAACTGAAATAGCATCGAATTCATGATAAGATATTGTGCCACAGATTAACGTTTTCCTCAGATGTAAATTTTTGCCAGCATTAACTGATCGACATTGATTGGCCTAAATTAAACCATAACAGTTACCCTTGTCACGAAAATTTTGGTTAAATTTTCTTCTATATTGTAATAATATTTCTTACTATTTGTTAGCGCTATTATTATGGAATGGTTGTGCATGGTTTAGAACCACAGGTATTGGTTCGAGACCATAGAACACCACAGATCTTGGCCACAAATAGACTACGATCATTTGGAATGTATAAATATGACAGCTAAGAATTCCGCTTGAGCCATAATGAAGTAATAAATTACGTCCTTGTGAATTGTATACTGATTTGAATACATCCCGTTATCATTAAATCCGAATCCTTTATAAACATTCATCTTGCATAATCTATGCTTGTAACCCTGAGATAATTTAACCTCATCTTCTCCCACGGTTACAACACCCTATCATAACCTAGGCCGTTCGATATCTGAGGCACGGCATATTATCTGATTCAGCTACTTAATAGATAAAGGTGTTATTAGGATATCAATATGTATAATTAACAAGCGATAAAGGGAATAATAATTATCATTGGTATAATCATTTAAACAGTTAAATCACGAAGAATATATTAAACTTGTCATAAGTAAAAAAAAAGTCCAAAATGCCTGATTACGTTGTCATTTAGGATATAATTAAATATATACATAATAATAAAATTAATAAAATAATCTGGTTTTGGTCAAGGCATTTTGCCTTCTTCATTCAAGCAGAGATGTAAATAGATATTTGAATAAATAATTAATAAATTATATTTAATAAATATTTAATGAATTTTACTCAAATAAATACATAAAAATAGATAAATAAAATACTCAAAAATACATATATAGTTACTAATAGATATGTAAACAAAATAAAATCTATGATATAGCGTGAACAGTTGCAGCCAATTTATATTATTTTAAGAATTCCAAAATCTCTTAACCTTGCATTAATATAGGCTTATGTACTAGCAAGCTAATTGCCACATCTGTAAAATTATCAATAAGACATATTGTATCAGGCGCTCTTACAAATTTACATTGCATATTATTATTAGAATAATTAGTATCATGATATGTTTGCGCAGTTTCTGCCATTTTTTGAAGTACCCCAGCTCCGGAAGACGAATGACCAAAATGTATGGTGTTGAAAAATATTGGGGATCTTATAATTTAATTTAATTTTAATGTAATTTTAATGTGATTTTAATTTAAATTGATTAAGTATTAAGACAATAAATTCGAACACCTTCTTACTACTTACCCTTTATCTTTATTTTTTCGGCACATGACTACTAATTCATTTTCTGGAAAATGCTCTTCTCCATCAGAAAGAAACATTACAACATTCAATCTACGATTATTATAAAGGTTGTATTATTTAATTGTAATCTGTAGTTTATAATATGCAAAAATAAATAAATAAATTTTACCTAGATATGTCAAAATATTTATCAATAACCTCTTCAGTTTTTTTAATTGCTCCGCCAAAACGTGTCCCTCTTCCAGTTCCTTTCTCAATCAATTTATTTTGAATAAAATCAGTATCAAATATACTTTTATTTTCAAATAGAACTTCAGAATGACGATCAAAAAGTATAACTGATACAATAACATTAACTATTGTCGTGGTTTTATTTTGATTCTGTGTAGAAGAAATCCGAGTTTTAATAAATTGATCCGTTGCTTGTAACGCTGCACCAAGTCGATTATTGAAATTTTCTTGTAATGATCTTCCAAATCGCGAATCCGATGTTGGTGGATGATCACTGAGGCTCATAGATGATGATCGATCCAGTACAAAAATAACATGAAAAGCTGCAACTCTAGGATCTCGACAAAGAAATACATGCCCATCATTAGATAAATATCCTTTTTTCCCAATAGGTAAAGTACTAATAGGATTATGAAATAGTTGCAAATCGCAATAAGATTTCTCTGGTGGTAAACCATCAATTGATTTTTGATGAATTTCATCCGGGCATTCATGGTCACATTTTGCAAAATCTTCTTGTTCCAAGGCAGTATATGGGTCTGAAAATACCAAAAATTAAATTAATATCAAAGTATAATTATATGTACTGTGTAATGTATGATTTACTTGCCCTCAAATCCAGTTCTAGCCCAAAATTGTTCATGTGATAAAAAGTCTTTAGATAACTCAGGATGTGGCTTAAATGTAAGATCTATTATATATTGTTGGAATGTAGAAGATAAGAAATAAATTACATCCAAATATAATACAGTAATAAAGATTTGATTTACAATTAAACATTTTATTAAATACCGTGAATATGTCTAACACCATCTTCTTTATCTTCAAAGTGATTTCTATATTTCCTAGACTCCGATCCGAACCTAGGTTTATTTCTATATTTGCAATAATCTATGTGTCGATGTCTACGAGAATTTTTGCAATGCTAAAATAAAACATAATCTGAATGTCAATTTTAAACCTCAATCTAGTCTAAAACTAAAATTTATTATTATCACTATACTGTCAGCCATTATTATCTTAGAAAAAAAAAAAATCTTATTTTTATTAATATGGCTGACTGTATGAATATTAAATAATATCATACACACCATATTGCAAAATTCAAAAACACCTCTATCACCAATTTTTAATTTATAACTGAATTGAATTAAATAAATTATATTAGCATTAAGCTTGCTAACATGCACCATAGGTGTTAAACCATCATATGAGTGCCGCCAAGGGAAAACCTGGCATCGGGCTTTCTATTATATTTTGTACCGGACAAAATCTGCTTAATTTCTTAAAGAATAATTCCAGTACAAAATAAAATTGAAAGTCCGATGACAGGTTTTCCCTTGGCGACACTCTATAGTTCAAAAGCTGTCAAAAAAATTGGCATTTTGTGTATAATAATTATTGGTGTTCCAAAAAAACTTAGTTTTGTTTTTACTCTAATTTAACCTCTAATTTAACAAATGTATGGTGAACACCATGGGTGCAACTAATAAAATTTTTGATTAGCATTATTAAATTACTTATAATTTACCCTCGATACTCAAAATCATCATCTTCAGCGACAAAAACAGTTAAATTCATGTTCCCATGTGTGGTATAATGAAGACCAGTATGACCATAAGGCAATGTACACTAATGTTTGTAAGTAAAATTTGATTAACACTTATTGACTAAAATTTAATGTTAAATTTAAAGCAGAATACTGACATAATATTCACATAAGGGACATTTTACTTCGCAGGTATGCATCGCATTTTCTAGATGAATATGTGGCCCATCGTGAAAAGTTTTATTTGCAGGAATCTTTTTGCTACATGGTAGTCTTTTTTTGATTTGAACGAACTAAAAAATCAAATTAATTGATACCAAGATAAATTTAATTGATTGTCGAATATATTTATGGTTACTACATCACTTTTAATATTACCTTCGTATAATCAATATTTGAACGTAAACCATGATAAACTGCCTTTTGTTCAATAATTTCTGCACGACATATTCTTGGACTTTCACTAATATTGAAATCTATTAGTACACGCATTAAAATACTCATAATTAAAATGCATAAAGTTCATACCATTCTTTTGGGCATGGATGCTCATTGCTAAAAACATTAATCTTATAAATAAATGTTCGTTTTGAATTTTCGAAAATTGATTAAATACAAAGAAGCTACATAAACTTACCCACAAAGATGGTTAATGCCAGCTCCTTCTAATGCATGATGATGATTTTTGCTTTTACATTTGTTTTTGCAAGTTGGCATTGGGCAGGGAATAGGACAAGATTCGCTCTCACAACAATGTTCATTTTTGTCGTGTTGTTTATCATACGGCAAAACACAATAATTTGGACATTTACTGTATATTGCGTATATCTTGTATTAATTTTTAATGAACATTCTGCACCACATTGATGAACTGAGTTACACTTATGTTTCACTTCTTTAGAGTGACCCACTTCATTTGTACAATATTGGTTGCAATTTTTTTTATCCGATAAATAACAAGGTTCACCACATTCATGTCGCTAAAAAAAAACGTCAAATTTTGGTTGTATTTATATTAAAAATATTGTAAATATAACTTACAATTTTGTCACAAATATGTTTTCCATCATGTCCAGCTTCATGTTTACATGCTTCTTTCGGCACTTTTTGTTCTAAATGTTTTTCATCAAATTGGCAATCAAAGTGACATTTGTGATCCGTAAGGCAGTCATGATCATTATTGTGATCCCTTTGTTTTAGACAATATAGCTTACATATGGAACATTTGATGCCACATAAATTCCAAAAAACTGTAAGCTTGCTAATCTCTCGCAATAATAAATTGTTTCCCTGAATTATATGTGAGTTATCTTGTGAAAAGCTTGCTGTATTCTGTGTATACCATGATTTAACTCTATTAATGCGTCTTTTGACTATATAATCTAAAAATATACGAAGATTATTGAACCAAATTTCGTCTTTTTCTGCACTTTTGCGTTCCATAATATGTTTTTCGAAAAAGGAAATTAAATGTCGTGATATATCAACCAGGCTATAACCATTCTTATATAACACAAGCAGTGAATCTTTAGGAAGTGGTGAATTGTTTATTGCATTTCTAATATTCTTAGACAATACAAGCTTTGAGTTATTGGAAAGTAAATCATCAATCTCAGAAAAATTATCTATTAATTTTTCAGGTTCAGGTATTTTTGCCCCAGTTGAACGATCCTAATTATATTTACAATTAAGATATGTTATTTGATGCAAAACAAATAGCTACAAATTATTCTTACCAAAAGTTCATGAACAAATGGCTCTGTTTGTTCAATTCCCATATTTATAGCAGAGTCAAGTAATCTTTTGAGGGTAGATACACGTCTATAAACAATAGCTTCATCTAATGGACTCCAATCACATACCTCAAATAAAAGATTCGAGATTTAAATTAGTGGCTCTAAAAGCTCTAAACAAAACTTTAATATCATAATTAACATTAAAATATACCATTAATTTGGCCAGCATTGATTTAATATAGTCAATAAAATAATGTGCATTGTCGTATGTAGACTCTCTTTTATCAAGTTTTTCTTTTACTTTGTCTAAAGTAGTGTACCAAGTCATATCATTAAACATTGGCCATGCGTATATGTCAACTTCACCAGAATAAATTCTGCTAATAAAATTATCTATGCCTTCCTATATAAATAAATTATTTTTATAATTTGATAAAAGTCAGGTATGCAATATACTTTTATTATATCCTAACTTATATACCTTAGCAACGATTTGTTGGAATTTTTGTTCAAATTCTTTCTTAATTTCTTTTCGAGCATGTTTAGGCACATCTTTAATTATCATACACAATCGTGCCTAAATGAATAATTATTAGTTTAACATGTCAAACTAAATTGGCTGTTTAACAAAATTCTTACTTTAAAAATTTTAGAATCATTCTTAGGTTGATTAGCACCATTTTGAAAGCTTCGATTAATTACAAATTGATTTTTGAATAATATCATATTGCTTAAACTTGCATTAAGTAGTGCTAAAAGAAGATCTATTTACAATAAATAATATTTAATAATATTAATAATTAATTAGAAAATCTTAATAACAAAAATTATACCTTCTTGTGGAGTGCGTTCTAATGATCCTAATCCTTCAAAATCTAAAGCTACATAAATAATTTCTTTTGTGATAGCTATTATATAGTTTATTGTTAATACATATGAAATAAGCATCTTTTATAAAAAAATTAACTGTATTAAATAATTACATAATGACATCCAAGCGCCTTCGGTACACCTCTGCAGTCAATAAATTATATTAGCTTAGTAAAATTTAGATTAATATTTATGTTTTTAATTAGACAAGTACGAACCATTGCAGATCCATCAAAGTTAGTTCCCACGAGCTTTAAATTTTAAATTACAGAATTATTAAAAAGAATGAAAAAAAACACAAGACAGATATAAATCTAATATATAAACTGTACATGATTCATTAAATATGATTTTCCGCAGCTTTGTTCGCCCATTGAGGATATCACTTTTACCTTTCGATCTCCAAGGTATTTAAAAATTCCCTCATACCATCCAAATGATATTTTACTACTTATTATTTCTGTATAGTTATCATCATCATCTTTATTATGTGTTATATTATAATTATCAGGTGCATCAAGACCATTATAAAGTGGCATTAATTTGTTTTCTTTGGCAACGGCTATTTGATAGGTATTAAACAACATAACTATTTTTAAAAATAATAAAAATAATAATTAATAACACTAAAAAAGCCAATTGACTAATTATAAATATCAATTTATAATTTAACCAAATATCGATTTATAATTTAACCAAATATCAATTTATAATTTAATCAAATATTAATTTATAATTTTACCTGAATTATCCATTCTCCAAGCTTAAATTTGGACGTATATTGTCTAATAATGTTATTATCGAATAAATCTTGATAATGATTAACATTAATTTTAAAATTATTTAATATAGTAGCAGGTTTTTGAGTCGACATCTTTATTCTATCTAGCATTTTAATAATATAATTTTCAAAATTCTCTTTAAAACTCAGAGCTTGTTCAAAATCCAGAAATATATATAACTGTGGTGCTTTGTTCGTTCCATCATCAATACATGGGTTGATTGGGAATTTTTCATATGTATCAGCATAAATATCAATTAACCCATTGAGTTTTGATTTAGGCAAAATTTTAAAAGAACGCCACTTATTTAGAGGTTTTTTTTGAGAAACAACCTTCAATTTTTAGACGATCGTCAGAAGAAATCTCAGTAATAAGTTTTTTCTCATTCTCAATAATAATATAATCTCCAACTTCAAAATCTGACTGAAAACTCGTTTTATCACCAAGTATTTCTGAGTAATCGTTAACTAATTTTAAAGGTTTAGCATGTCCAAGTGATATTTTGGTAGCTCTTTGAAACTGAAATTCCATTCTATCAAGATTTTTATTAAAAGGGATTTAAAACATGATTGGTTTAAATCAATATAGCTTAAGTGAACTTGTTAGTCGGAGATATAAGAAAAATTACAAGATTTTAATTCTTCATTGCTTAATGGCAATTCAATTACTGTGTCATAAATAAATTATATTGTTAGTAACTTTATTAAAAATTTTTAATCGAAATATAAATTACCTTTAGTGCCCGTTCGAAATTGGGACCAAAGTAAATATATGCCTTGCTTTTTTGTCTTTCATATGTAAATGCTACAATACAAGTGCCGTCTGGAGAACTCAACGCATTCAGTGTTTTAGATGGAAATTCTAATTTTCTTAATAGAAATTGTTTTGTTTTGCCGGAAAAAAGTTTTGCTTTTCCATTTTTTTCAATAAAGCAAAAGTTTTCCGTACATTGTATAAAAATAACTTTTAAGATATCGGGAGCATAATTATCCTCAAATAGCCTATCAACTTTTAAGTGAAGTGCAACTTCAAATGGGTTTTCTAGAAATTTATAAACTGATAACTATTTAATAATATAAATGACAAGTATTTTAATGGCAAAGATTAGATTTATTAAAATGCATCATAAGTGTTAAAATATCATATCTCAAATATTAAATAACAATCAGTCTTACCCTAGTAGATTTAGTTTCATACAATAAAATCAACCCTAATGGCTCATTTATATCAATCAATGTATTTTCTTTAAGTACTCTAAATTCTTTAAGTGGCTTAAAATTTCGGCGCTGTTGAATCTGGCCATAAAATAATTCAAGCAAATTTGTAGAATTATTCCAAAGAAAGAGCAAAATATGTCGACTTTTTAACTGAAAAACCTTCCTACATGCAAATAAATTTATTTAAAATAAATAATCAGTATCGATATATAGTAATATACGGCGACACTATGTGAATATTTGAAATATCATTTTTGGATTTTTCCTTTTTAAGATCAAATACTAAATTATTTTGACCCCCAAAAAAAAACCAGAAATATCTATTTGAAATTTTTTGCTTGGCATCATATCCAGAGTTGGTATAAACGGGTCAATGTTTATCTTGACCTGACTGGTCTCAAGAGTTAGTGATGGTTAAAATTTAATATACCAGATACGATATACAAGTAAGTACATTGTACTGTACGTATTATTTTTATAGAGTAGAGATGTACCTCGCTCGAAGTGACTAAATCTTCGCACCTGCGATATCACATACCTTGCACAGAGTTTCATCATCTCGCGCGAGGTAAATCACTCGATTAAGATAACCTTAATTATTAATATTAAGCTTTTTGATAATAAATTAAAAATTTACTATAACTCACATAAAATCAGTGATGTAACCTTGCGCGAGGTGTGTGAATATATGCTAAGTTTCCTCGTGTAATATAGAGCTTATTATGTGATTTATCATAACTTCTAAAAATGATGATTACGTAAACTAATTGTTGTACGATTAGTTTCTGGTTACAATATTTTGGTACAAAGTAAATGTTGTGCCTCAGACTAACGCTTGTCTTGCCTCAGAATACAGCTGACGTATATCGTCAGGTGCGTGAACTATTAATCTGTCATCTAAGCTGCAATCTGATGAAAGTAAAAATAAATTGAGTAAGGACTTTTGACTTGGACTCTTTTTTATTCTTTCTTTCTTGAATTCTCTTTGGCATTTTTCTTACTGGTAGCATTCTTTACTTTATTTCACTTTGGCGTCTTTTTTAACACCAGTAACATTCTATATTGTTAATCATTTTAGCGTCGTCTTACCTCCAGTAGCATTCTTGAATCTCTTTGATATTTCAACATCAAAAATATAATTTTTTACATTAAGCCTCTTCAGCACCTCCATTCTTTTCTTTGAATTTCTTTGCCAGAATTTTCGTGGCACAATCTATTTCCTATTAATATGTACTTTTTTCTCTATAAGTACTTTTTTTTTGCCTAAATTTTCGCTATATATTCCTCCTGTTTAAGTATAATATTTTTTTCTATGAGTCAGCTATGATCTGAGTCAAGTGTTAGTCTGAAGCACAACATAAATACCTTCAAAACGAACGATATTAATATTGATAATACATAACTTATGTCTCAATTTTAGCTGGTGCAGTGAAATTTTCAAGACTGTATATTTGTGTAACTAACTAATACTATAGCACAGACCATTTGACCAACCCTGAATCATATTTTATAATACGTAATAAATAAATTTACTATAAATTTACTTACTTAAAAATGTATTTGCTTGAATTAAAATAAAACTCTTGTCCATAATAATAGCTCCCTATATTTGAAACTCTTTGTTGTAGTTGTGGAGTAGGAACATAGTTTGGATCTTCAAATAAGTTTTGAACATCTTCAGAATCAATTTGTGTTTCATATATAGTAATTGTAATGAGCGAAGGTCGTTTCTTGATAAGTTCAAACTCTAACTTAAACTTTTGCATTTTCGATACATTATTGATTTCTATATAAAAATTGATTAGATTTTGACATGCGATCCTAAATACAAAATAGTTTTTTCCTTACCAAGTTTTTTAACTACAAATCTATTTGAACTGTTAAATTAAATAATATGTATAGTTAATGAATATTAATAATGTTTCGACAAAAGAAAATCTTAAATGTAAATTAATTACCCATTAATGCTATATTTTTTTCTAATAATGTCACCAAGTTTTTTAATATAACCTTTCTCGATTTCATGTATCCTACTTTCTAGGTTATCTTTAAGTTCTTTAAACATGGTTTGAAATTTTTTAGATTCTTTTATATGATCACTTATTGAATTTAAGAATGCATCTCTCCACGTAGAATATTCATTATAAAACAATTCAATTGATTTTTCTTTAATATCAGGATTATTGTCAAATTCTTTGTTGTAAAGATAACTTTGAATAAATTGTTGATCTGATATTTCAGAAATATCCTCTTGATCTGTAATTTTAAGTAGTTTTTTGTGAAAACCTTTTATATTTTGCCAGTAGTCATTCCATTTATCATTATTCGACTTATTTTCTTTATTTTCTAAAAGATTATGATAAATTATAGTTATCAATGGTTGTTTTTCTTGATTAGCAGAGTTTTCAACAGACTTTTGAATAGTTAAGAAACGTTTTTTATATTCCTTCCATTTTGGTGAATTGATATCTTTGATAGAACTTTCCAATTTATTAATTACATCCGAATAGTCTTTTTCAATTCTATCATGTTCTAAAATTATATTTTATTAAGTATTAATTGTGAAAAATGCTGAAATTCTAAAAATGAATTTATTATTTATACTTACCAGAATCGTCCATAGCTTCATCCGAATCTTTTTCAAATAAACTAGTATAAAATAAGCAAAAATTATATTATTTAATTGTTTATATACAATTATCCCTTTCTTTAAACCTTTCCATAACATTATAACACCGACAACAATTTTAATAACAAGACATTACATCGCCTAGAGACTGGACTTGAATCAACTCGTAGCTTGAAAAACATAGTCTTAACTTGAATTAATTCGAGTCAAGACTATGTTTTTTTAAGCCACGAGTTGACTCGAGTCCAGTCTCTAACGTCGCCTATCAAGAAATGCTTTAATCATTTTAAAAATAATAATAATAGTCATTTGTTAATAAAAGTGCTGAAAGCGTTCTAAATGCCATGAACTGATAAACCCATTTTTAATTAACGATATTTATTTCATCAACAAGTCAACAGATCATTCACCGCCAGAATATTTCTCTGACAGAAAAGACTATATATATTTCAATATAAAATAGGATGTTGTAAAATATTCCTTGGGAAGTAAACTATCAGAGAAATTAATTCCAGGGAAATGAGAAGAAAAATGTATTTTTCATAGGTAAAGTGGATTATCAATGAAATAATTTGACGACTAAACGTCCTAACTGAGATAGTGTCAAAAAGCGACAGGTAGCAACATTATTTAATAAATACTTGCCCATAAATGGATTGTAATCTATTTTTAAACATATCAGTGAGCAATTTAGAATCAACAGCAATAATGACGTCTTCATCTTTCACAAGATTATTATTATCATCAGTAGCAATTTGTATTTCTTCTTCATATGATGTTAAAAGTTTCTCTTCAATTTCAATCTGCAGAATATAAGCCAGATCGAACAATTCATCAATCCCAATCGATGAACTAATTTGTAAAGAATAATCTTGTCTATTTAGATATTCTGAAATAGAATATTGTAGTCCAGAATCAGTATCTGTACGTTCATAACATTCAGATATTTCTTGAGGCTCATTTATGTGACAAGTAAGGAATGATTGATGATGACAAGATTCTATCGACATAGCAGAAGGAAAGCTTGGAGGTAGAGTTAACTCAGTATTTCTAACTTTTTTTTGATCCTGGTAAATTAAGCTTTTAAAAAATACTATTAAAAACATTGTATATTTTAATCAAATAATATTAGCAATTATATTAATAGCATACTTCAAATCCTTTAAAAATATTAAAATCTGTTTTGTTTTGTTGGACTTGTTTGACAGTATATTCACTATCAATATCATCATCTTCTTCTTCTTCATTATCTTCATTAGAAGATTTCTTTCGAAGGTTAAAATCAAAAGTCTTCAGATCTTCTTCGCTCAGTAGACAGAAATGAACATCTGTCAGCTTTGTAAAATATCTAGGAAAACATAGAATAAGTTAATAAATTACCAAAAGTACGTAGATAACTATATTAAAATATTGTAGCAATCTTCTTCGGGCCAATGGACAACTAAGCCATGATCATTTCTTATTAATAGATAAATGCCAGTCTTAAGAGATGGTGTATTATTATTATTATCTTTGATCGTTTGAGATTGTACTAATTGTGAGTGGCTTAAAAAGTGTAATCATTAATTAAAATAGAACAATCATTTCGTTGACAAGCTGATCACTTCTCCGAAATAAAATTTTATTATAATAATAAATGCTTATATTGTAGGCAAGATTTCGGAGAAATAAGGAAATAATTTTGCATTACAAACAATTAAAATATATACTAACATTTGTTCATCAATTAGATTGCTTTGGAGCAAATATTTAGCAATACTCTCACGAGTTCCGTAGATTCCGGTAAAATTAAGTGATTTGGAATTCAAAGACGCATAATTGATTTCAGAAATTGATTTAAAACTATTTGGCACTATAATATTGCAGAGTTTCTTCAAAGAGTTTTGAGAAATAATGATCTTGTCAACCGCTAAAATAAAAAATTAGAATTAAATTTTTTGCAAACCAAAATTTTTTGTAAAACGAATTAAAAATTATCTAACCAAATCCATTAAGTCCCATATCTTTACGCAAATCAAGCAAATGATATAAGTTAGGAATTTTGGTACAAAGGTCCGTAGGATCTTCTTCTATGTTTGAAGAATCGTTCATATTTGGTATAGTATCCGAAGTATTAGCTGCAATAAGAAAAAATAGTCAATGGTTTTTCTTTTAAATACATATGCTAATTATATAAGTAATATGCCCCTGCAATGACTTATTATTTAATGAGTATTACTATTCAGAAGACATAAATTTCTGACAGAATAAAATATTCTTTCTTACCAATAATCTCATATTTTCCTGCCATTATGACTGACAAGACAGTAAATGAATCCGAACATATGCATTATATGGTACGTACGTATTTTATACAAAAAAATCTGAAATTTTGTATTTTTGAAATAAATTTCTTGCATCGTAGTGGTAGAATATTAGAATTTTGTGCATTCTTATGGAATATTCTATTCCACAAAGTTTCACTAATTTTTTTTTATTAAATAAAATAGCTATTCGTGTAATCAAAGGGCTATATACTGGTCTTTTATTAGTCCGGAGCGAAGCAAATGTCGCCCGCATCATGCGATATACAACCAATCACATTCAACTGATCGATGAAAACAATAGCAAATACATATAATATATATATAATATATATATATATTTACCTAGTACGACGAATTGACGTCCGCAAGTGCTTGAACAGAAAATTCGCGCGATAATTAGTGTAAAACAAAACATCATTTGCAGACTTAAATCATTAAAAAAAAAAAAAAAAGTGTTATACGATACATGAATATTAAGTTAGCATGATGCAACTTATCGCACTATGATAATTATGAAGACTTATATGCAGTATTAAAGAATTATTAAACCAAGCCAGTTGATACATGGACATCAAGTCATCGCAGTACAACATATGGCATGATGAATGAAAATAAAGAAGCATTTACAGATTTAATAATCATCAGAAATCGAGCAAATAATGTGTTACATTAAGTCAGTGCGGTAAAACTTGTCACACGATGAAATGTAGTTGTAATGAATCCCGTGCAGATTTAATTGAATCATTAGAAGCTGAACCAAAAAAGAATGCACTGGCATTAAGTCAACACAGTGAAACTCATCGCATGATGAATAAGCATGATAAATCACTCGTAGATTTAAAGAAATCATTAGAAATCACACCTAATGATGCATTGTAGTGAGAGGTCGAAGAATAACTTATCTTACGTTAAATAAATATGAAATCACAGAGTAGAATAAGTCATTAGGATTGAACCAATGCTGCATCCGTATTAGGTTATTGTGGAACCTATCGCATAATGAGTAAATAAATCGAACCCAATAATGCATGGGCATTGAGAAATCGTGAAGCATGATAAGCAACATGAGGAGACAATACAGATCTAAATGAGGTATCAGAAATCGAGCCAGAAGTTCATGGGCATTAGGTCAACATAGTGCAGCTGATCGCATAGTGAATAGATAATGAATCACCTGCAGATTTAGGCAAATTATTATTAAAAAAAAAAAAAAAAGACATGCATGCATTAAATGGTCGCGGATTAACTTAGCAATTGACGAACAAAAATGAAAGTCATTTGCAGATTTAAATAAATCACTATAAATTAAACAAGATGACGCACAGCATTAAGTGACTATGGTGAAACCCATCACATAACGAATAAACACAAAGAGATTACTAGAATTAAACCGATAATGCTAACAAATTGTCACAGACGAATAAATACAAAGAGTCACTCGCATATTTAAATAATCATTAGAATTCAAACCAAATGATGTAAGGTATTAAGCCAATGTGAGGCAATGTAACTTATCAGATGACGACCAAAATATGAAGAATCACTAGAATTAAACTGATGATACCAGCAAAATATCACAAACGAATAAATACAGAGAGTCACTCGCATACTTAAATAATCATTAGAAATCAAACCAAATGATACAGGGGTATTAAGCCAAGGCAATGTGATGACAAACAAATGTCAAGAATCACTTAAAGATTTAAACAAATTGTTAGAAATCGAATCAATCATGGCATGGATGTTAAGTCCGTGTGGGAGACTTAACGTATGATGAACAGATAGAAAGAGTCGCTTGGCAGATTAGATAAATCACAAGCGATCAACCAAATAAAGTACGGGATTGGAATTTGTAGAACAACCTAAAAATTGGTTGTGGATTTAAATAAATTATTGGAAATCAAACCAACCAAACCAATGTGGTATTATTTATCGCATGAGGAATAAGTATAGAAAATTGCTGGGTAGATCAAAAAAAAAAAAAAAAAGATTTCGATTAGTGTCATAGTGAGAATATCAGTGGAAATACATCGTAAGATACACCTGTCTTCGTAGAGGCTCCAAGCGAGTGGACTCAGTTGTAGAAGACTGAGTTAGACTCCATATCCTGAGTAACTACATGAAAACTAGCTTTACTAGCCACAATATCCGATGTAGTGAAAAAAAAAAAAATTAATTACGGCGTTCTAGCCAGGGTGAATCAAGTTAGATAATGCATGAACGTTAATTCAATGTGATTAGACCAATTATGTGAGGAACAACTAGACTAACAGGTATATGAACATTAGAAAGTCATGAAGCGACTTATCATAAGACGAATAAATACAAAGAATCGTGTGTGGATTTAAATGAGTCATTTAAAGTAAACCTAAGAATGTATAGACGTTAATCAATATAGTTCAACTTATCTCATAATAATAATAATAATAATAAAATCTTACTATGCCAAGTGTATATCCTTTTAAAGCAATTTATAAGTTCAGTATTCAACACTTATTGAGCTGTGATATATGAGATAAATGTGCTCATCGAAAGTTACCTCCATCACTCAAGTCCTAAATGTTAAATCAATTAACTAAATTATACAGAATAGCTCAAGTAAATTGCTAGGCCGCACTTTAGTAGCATTCGAATGAAGGAATTCAAAGCAATGTAATATTTAGAAGCATGATAATACATAACTTGAAAAAACAAGAGCAGTAACCTATTATGTTATATATTATGAAGTTTTTTAAACAGACTTTATGGGATATAGAAACTTATCTGAGACACATAAAGAGCCTGGAATTGAGAATCAGTTATACAATTAAACAGCTTTCTTTGCCTAAATGAGCTTGCACCTGGTTACAAAAAAAAAAAAAAAATCCCAACAACGAGTCTTAAAAGACAAAAAACGGTTAACACTATTTTTGCTACAATTCTATTACTAGTACCAAAAAAAAAAAAAAAAAAAAAAAAAGCCTATATCCGGTTAAGGCATTAAAAGCATATTCAGTCCACAGGATAGATCCAACACACTCTAGAGCACGACATGCTATCCATCAAACCAACAGCAATGCAACTACAAAACAGTGCTCAATTAATAATTCAAAGTGCCTACTGAGCATTGTAGATACAGTTTTCCAAACAGGTGACACAACAAATTATTGTTGTAGGGCGTGCAGCAACTATTTACTCAGAGGATTGGTAAATGGTTACCAGACATATTCCAAAAATGCATATAGATCCATTCAGTGACAATAATAGCTATCATGACAAAGGGACGACTGAGTTACATACATTGTGAGTTTACATGATCCATATATCAATAATACATAAGTTCCAAGAAAGACAAGCTTGTAGTAAAGTTACAGTATCTTAGCAACCAAGAGCTGGTTAATGAACAATCTCAAATCTCACCCACCAGGCACTAAGGTAATAGTGTAACCATCGTAAGGGAGAGCTGTCATGCTGAGTTTAACTCCGATGGTTGACGTTAGAAGGATCACATGATTTGGGCAGTAAATTATGATATTCGGGTTTTCATATATATGATAACTTTTTAGAGCGTGATCATAATGAATACAACGTACTCATGGTAGCATCTGCGTATTTGCGGTAACAATAGCATATTCACTGTAACTACACGTATTCGTGGTTGCATGAATTAAGCCCCAACAATGCCTAGTTCTACTAAGCTACTATTAGCCTAAAATTGGAGGTAGCACAGGTCAAAATCAAAATATCCTACACATATCAGGTATTTAAAGCTACACATATCTGGTACCTGATAGGTGTCAGATAGGTACCCGATAGGTGTCAGATAGGTGTAGTTGATATTTATTTTTACACTTATCTGCTACCAATCGGGTACTTTATTGAATACAAATCGGGTACCAAACATGTATAGAGTTCATGCAGGATATCGGACACATATCCTACACATATTCGTATATATATCTTACATTTATATATTATTTTTAAAATAAATAAAAAATACTCCGGAAGTAGCTTCTATACTAAGTAAACCTATCTTCAATCTTAAGAAATATTTATTCTCCAGATCAATATGGTTCTAATGGTAGTAGATTGTCAAAAACGGCCCAGTAGTTCTTTTGCTACGGCCTTTCAAAGTTTTACAACGATTATTATCGTTTTAAATCACATGATAAAATCGTTGTAAAACTTTGAAAGGCCATAGCAAAAGAACTACTGGGCCGTTTTTGAAAATCTTACCACCATTAGAACCGTCTTTATCTGGAGAATAAATTTTTCTTAAAATTAGAGATAGTTTACTTAGTCTAAAACTTACTTTCGGAAGACTTTTTGTTTATTTTTATAAAAGTAAAAATAAATAAAAAAGTGCTCCGGAAGCGGGTTTCATACTAAGTAAACTATATCTAATTTTAAGAAAAATTTATTCTCCAGATCAAGGCGGTTTTAATGGTGGTAAGTTTGTCAAAAACAGCCCAGTAGTTCTTTCGCTATAGCCTTTCAAAGTTTTGCAAAATTTTGTAACTATTTTTGTTTTTTAAATCATATGATAATAATCGTTGTAAAACTTTAAAAGGCTGTAGCAAAAGAACTACTGGGCCGTTTTTGACAATCTTACCGCCATTAAAACCGCCTTTATCTGTAGAATAAATTTTCTTAAAATTAGAGATAGTTTGCTTAGTCTAAAACTTACTTCCGGAAGACTTTTTGTTTATTTTTATAAAAGTAAAAATAAACAAAAAAGTGCTCCGGAAGCGGGTTTCATACCAAGTAAACTATATCTAATTTTAATAAAAATTTATTCTCCAGATCAAAGGCGGTTTTAATGGTGGTAAGTTTGTCAAAAACGGCCCAGTAGTTCTTTCGCTATAGCCTTTCAAAGTTTTGTAAAATTTTGTAACTATTTTTGTTTTTTAAATCATATGATAATAATCGTTGTAAAACTTTGAAAGGCTGTAGCAAAAGAACTACTGGGCCGTTTTTGACAATCTTACCGCCATCAGAACCGCCT